GACGAAACCCCGGCCACCACTCATCAGTCATCTTTTTTTTTGTTGTCCGGTGCCATGACAAAACACCGCAGCGGCAGTGACAGCAATAGCAATTAACCATGTAGCAGGTAGTAATGGCAACCGCGATAGTCCCGCATCGAGATCGCCCTGCTCCCGAGGACATGCCCCCTTTTTTTTTTTTTTTTTTTTTTTTTTTTTTTTTTGAGACTTCTTCCAAGGCACCCGGCCACCAAGCCGCGATGGCGTCGCAAAGTGATCGACCGCCCCGCGTCAATGTGTGCAAAGACCCAGAAACAGGCGCCGACATGCATCAGCATTCAATTGTGATTGCCAGATTCTCCATGTATAATACCAGCTTTGTTATACCCCCATCCGCACAGCTGGGCACCTCATCCATACGAACCCAGGCCCCGGCAACCAATGTGCTCAAACTACGTATCAAGTGCCTGGTTTACACCGACAGCATTCCACGTTGAATTACGCTTCTCGCGTAGGTATCGTTGCAACAACCATTTTACGTAGTCTGCACAGTCTCCCGGAGGACAAAAGGGCCCGTCCAGCTCCAGCCAGTGGACATACGCCGTGCCTCAGGAGACATCTCCTGTCATCATCCCACGTTGATAGCGAACTCGCTGTCTCACCCAATCACCTCACCGGCATCCACAGCAAGAGACATACCAGAGTACCTAAGGATCTTATTCCTAGCCGACCTTCACATCAGTAATACGAACCGCTCTCCCAGCACAACCCAATCCCCGTGTCAGCTCTCGCTCAAGTCCCTGCCTTAGCCGGCTATTTTCAGCGTCAAATGGAACTCCGCCGGCACTGCAGGGTCGCGGAAGTCTTCCCCGCGCATGCCCGTCATTGCTATTCGTACGTAGTCCTATTGTCGTCCTAGGATAGGACGCACGCACGCATATGATTCTTGAACTATGAACTCAATAACTGATGTACAGCCGCCCCGCCCGACAGACCTCCATCTTCCCCAATGTCGTCCCCCCGTCCCCAGTGACGATTGCCGTGGGAGAGTAACATTTGATCCCTTCATCTCAGTCTAGGTGGAGAATATCACCTTACTTACGATTACAATTATGGTCCATCCCTTTTAACCATTTCTCATGGTTGCAGTTGCCCCGCAAGCCAAATGACGAAATCGGAGCAGGGAAACCAACAGCAACAATCCATGACCGAGTCAAGTTCCATTCGCATACACGGAGCCGAATGCCGAGCGATGTTCCGTAGTCCATGGTCGCCCTATTAAGATGTCGTTGGAAACGTCTACCCATGTCCACATATGGACTTTATTTTCTCAACTGATGATTCGATGCCCTGCGTGCCCGCCAAAGGTGTGACGCCTTTTAACTCACATGGGGGTTCCGACGACGACGCAAGATGGGCACGTCAGAAGGAACAATAAATAAATAAATTAAATTAAATTAATTAATAAAAAAAAAAAAAAAGAAGAAGAAGAAGAAGAAGAAAAAGAGCACCACGCGTTATTATCCAACACATATGCAAAGCCGTTTCTACCGGTGTCTTCCTTCCCATGGCCAGCCTCTACTCTCGAAAAGGTTTAAGTCAGTAAGAACGCCAGAGAAGAGTCCCAGAAGAATACGGATCCCACACCACCGGCCCCTCTCACATACGCCGTTCCGGCAAGCCACATCGCCCGGCCACAGGCTTTGTCTCCCAGGGGCCGGTTACGCGCCGCTATTGGAGATCCAGGCTCCAGAGTAACGCAGAGAAGGAGCTCTTTGGCTACTGCGCCCCTCGGCGGAATTATCCACGCGGGTCATCATCGTAAATACGATGCGCACTCTCCAAAACCCCTACCTTCTGCCAGTCTTAAGAAATGCGTCACGGGTCGCTAACTTGGCTTGACCTTTACACTTGGTGGCAGTACATGAACGGCATGCAGCAAGCCGTGGGAATACGATACGGCAACGCGGAGATGGCGTGCGAGCGTGTTACTGGGCCGATGCATGTTGCCAATCTTAGCTCCTGCTCTCCAGGCGGTGACACGTGACTCCCGCTGGCGTACTGTGGTTTCACTTGCGGCTGTATATGCCCATTCACATGTGGCCACGATTCTCTGTGGAGTGAGTATCTGTGCTGTCTTGCTGAGTGCTGTCGTCCTGGTCGTCCGGAGCGGGTCGGTAAACCGGTGCGCAAATATCGACTGTCAAGTGTTTTTAGTGTGAGTGTCTGCACGTAGATCCTTCCTCTGTATGATTCCATTGGTCGAGTCGAACTGAATGCACCATGGTTCACATGTCGCGCGTATTGAAATGTATTTGAACAGCAGTGGGCCAACCCACCTCATGGGGAAGTGTAAGAACAGAGAAAACGCGACGACGACATTGTTGAAACCCTTCAACCTACAAAAAATGCATTTAACATGCGGCCAAGGGATAACCTCACAATAGGCATATAAAGTACGGTAGCTCTAATTTGGCATGCTATCTGTCTGCCCCTTATATAAGGGGACTTGCAACTCTACCAGTACGCATCGAACAATTTATTCCGTGCAATATTTCCGTCCGACGCACGTGTTCCATGAAAATCATCGTCAAACAGCCATTCTATGCATCCCCCCAAAGCAAATCGCCCAGGTTAATTTCGAGGTCGAGCTCCACTGCATACTTGTCAAACGCCCATTCACCCACGATCTCCTGAAGTCTGTTACTTATATCATCCATTTCTGCCGGCTCTAGATCAAATGCCGGCGACTCTGGTTTGTCCCTGGAGACATACAGATCCCAAGCGAAAGCTTTGGTGGCCTGTTTTCGCAGTTGGGTTAGATCGATCATGAGAGATTTCAACTGCAAGTATAACTCTTCGGAGGGTCTTTCAAAGGGCAGCAAATCAGACTTCATCCTCTTGTGAGTCTTGTTCCTTGACCTAGACCTCGATGCCAGTCTCTTCCTCAGATATCCACGCGGTGATATCTCCAACGTGGTTGTTGTCAACCCTCGGGTAAGGGGTCTCCCTCTTTCCTCGAACGTCGTATCTTCGATTGGGGGTTCGAAAGCGTCTTTCTGATGGCGTAGAATCTTCATCCTTGATGCAGCACTGCCAATGTCTCTCTCTGCGGGACTCGGGCTGACAGAAAGGTCCAAGTCCTTGTGAATGATGCTGTGGGACCTGGGACGAAGAGCGTTCAACCTTTCAATGGCATCAGCAATGTCCCTCTCTGTTGGACTGGGGCTGTTATGCCGCAAATGCCAGGTGATCTCTGGTACAGCATCATAATTATCATCGAAATCTCCATTAGAACTACAACCTGCAGCGGCGTGTTGGAACTCTCCGGGCTGTGAGTTTTTCAAGCTCTTGGTGGCATTGAAAGCAAGCTTGCTTTGGTTAAGTCCATTCCTCTTGCGATCCCCAACGCTTGGTTGTCCTTGAGCACATCGAGGCCGGTTACTTCGAGCAGAGCTTCGTTCTTGTCTACCGACCTCTGCGCGGGCAGGTACACGAAATGGCTTGTGCAGAGGGCTCGAAGAAGACGGAGGAGTTCCAAAGAGATTGTCTTGGCCACGAATCGTAGGTGGATGTGGTGTTTGTGCGCGGCGCCGGTGTAAACCCAAATCCCTCGCAATATCGTCTGGAAGATCATCGAATTCGTGTCTCAGTCCGGGTCGCTGGAATTGCTCTTCATCTCCCAGAATTCTCGGCGCGCCTGTGTGGCTTGGGTCCTGCGGAAAACCATGTGGGGCATCGAACGTTCTCAACCCGGACGACTCAAAGTCATCTGCCTCATGTGCATGTTCCCTCTGCATAGCAAGTGCCTGGTGGCGTTGAGAAAGTTGACCAAGGGCATTTTCTCGGTCTTCGGGAACCAGCTTGGTCATGCTCTCCGTCTCATGCACGACATTCTCAACGTTAGGGATGTGAGTCGACTCTTTGAGGACCGGGGCAGTGGTGTTGTCTTCACTCTGCTCAATGTCGGCCGAATTTTTCGAATGGTCGCTATGAATCCCTCCACTTTTCTTCGCTGCTTTTTTGGCTAGAGACCACGGGTTTGGCTTCTCCCGCTGGCTTTGCTCCATTCTCTGCGACCTCAGGAGCTCGGAAATGTCTGAGAGCAGTGGATTGAGAGATATTTCTTGTGTATCTTCCACTGGGCTCGCAGTGTTACTTCTTGCCATGTCGACGTCCCAACTCGACCGGAGGAAAGACTGAGTCAGCCCAGAATCACTAGAGGATTCTAGAGAATCTTGCCGTGATATCTGTGCCTCGCTGCTGTTGGTTTGAGACGCCTTCTCATTGGCCAAGGATAGAGTGTCATCCGCTAGGTGAGTGGTATACTTCAAGGCACTTCTGTCTGGATGGTCATGATAGCCGCCTGCTTTGTTGACAAACGCGGCAGAACTTCCAACCGCAGAAGTCCTGTCTGAAGGGGGACTTGCGAGCTGTCTGTTAATGATATCGCTGGCCTTCTCAGCGGGTGTGACCTCTAGGTTGTACAGATGTCCTGATAGCCGTCTCTGAATTAGCAATCATACTTCTTTTTCATTGTGCGAGATTAATTCCATACCACGCTGGCCAGAGCTTGATGACTCAACTACAACATTTTGCTCGGGTATGTCCGCCTGACCATCGCAGTTCTGATACAAATCCTGGCACATGTCTTCAAACAACTCCAAAAGCTTCGGCTCGTTCGCAAAGAGAACCTCGTCTTTGTTCGTGGCCACGTTCGGGTCGTAGCTGCCAAGTATACACTCAATGTTGAGTCTGATGAATGGAGTCTTGAGGTTCTCTAGTGAAGCCCCGACATGCTTGCGTAAATGCTGTTTGTATATCCCAACGAGCTTCTTCATGGTACCTCTGGCGGTGGCCATGGGACGAGCATCAACCGAGATGAAGTATCCTTTTCCCGCTATCGCAGCTGGTTTCGCGTCGGGCTTCGGCATGAAAGCCTCAAGGCGGAGAATAGAGGCCGGAGTGTCTGGCCTGCTCCGCGTCGCCCCACCCTCCAAAGTGTTGCCACTATATGTCTTCTAGACACATTGAGAAACGAGCTCGTTGCCGAAGACTTGGAGAACTGCCTCCCTGACATCGGCCCCAGCAGTGGGAGCATAAGACCAAGAGAGTTTGTGATTGCTTTGAATCTTCAACGAGAGTCTGATCCGAGGTCTTGTCAGAGCATATGTGAAAAGCAATTCCTTGATCTGGCTGTGGGCTCTCTTGCTTTCCTTGATAGCCTGCTGCCGCCGAACAGGAAACCCGGCAAAGATATCGGAGGCGTCGACTGTCGTTCCAACGGGACCGGCAACGGGCTTCTGGGCCAAGATTCCTCCCCCATTAGGATTGAGCGTGAGAAGGTTCGCAACAGGATCCTCGGCCGTCCTGGTTGTGATGGTGAGTTTCGACATGATGTTTGTGCCCGCGAGTGCGTCGCCACGGAACCCAAGCGTCTGGCCGCTCTTGGACTGAAGCTCCTCAAAAGTCCGAAGCTTGCTGGTGTGTGATCGCCGGCCAAGGGCATCGAAGTCTTCGGAATCGATACCAAGTCCATTATCTCGGACCTGGATCTTGTCGACGGCATTGGCCGAGACGGTGATTTCGATGCTAGTTGCGCCGGCGTCGATGGAGTTGTCAACGAGCTCCTTGACGAGCGATACAGGGGTCACGATGACAACGGAAGAGCCTAGACGGCGTACAGTCGTCAGAGGAAGCCGAGTAATTGGCATGGTGATCAAAAACGAAGGAGAGAGGTCTAATTGATCGAAATGGTGTACATGGACGAGAAGCTAACCCCAGGCGGGTTCGCTCTCGATTGGTATTGTGAAAGCCAGGGTTTTCGATCGCAGATCGCGCCTGGGAGATGCACGATAAGTGAAAAGATCAATTGCAGTGAAGCATTGGAGTTTATGCAGTTGACCCAGAGAGAGGGCATTAGGAGGGAGGGGAAAGAAGAGGGAAAGGCAGGAACCATGTAAGTGAAGCAAGTCGAGTCCTCTTTCCAAGAATGGAAATGGCGAATGGGCACTGCCAACTTCAAGCCTCTGCACCTGGCAGCAGCCGGGATACCCGCGGCCTGACCTGACTTCCCATCCCGCTGGAGACGGATGCAGCTTGCAGCTCCCTTGCTGCGCGTGTTTCCTTGCTGCAGGGTTCACACCTAGCAAGATCCAAGAGAGCGCCAAAGCCCCGCAGCTGTTTCTTCCCAGGCACGCAACACCTCAAACCGCATGCCCCGCATCGCAAGGTCCCGTTCCGCCTTCTTGTTCCCTCCCGCCCTGAGAGCACGCACCCGAACACCGAGCAGTCAGCCGGCCCGCCCATTTCATAAGCACCCAGACGTCGGTAGCTCCCAGCTGTCATCACCCCTCCCTTTCGCATCATCCACCCCGCCATAGAAGCTACCTTGCTTCCTTCTCTTAACCACGCAATCCGGTACATTCGACTTGAACACCACCACCACCACCACCACCACCACACCTGCCTGCATACTATACCCACAGCATCTCTTAAACTCATCTTCTCGAACACCTCCTGATCAAAATGTCCGGCATCAAGGGACCGTCCCCCCAGGAGCATGACGGCAGCGCCCTGCGCATCGGTATTGTCCACGCCCGCTGGAACCCGACCATCATCGAGCCCCTCGTTCAGGGCGCCAAGGAGAAGCTGCTCGGCTGCGGTGTCAAGGAGTCCAACATCGTCGTTCAGTCTGTCCCGGGATCCTGGGAGCTCCCCTTCGCTGTGCAGAGGTAAGCTCAAGCCCTTGCCCCCTCCCCTACCCAAGGATCCCTCTTCGGTCACATTGAGCCTGCGCGAAATGTATGTGCGAAAACATTGTCCAACCCAATAGGGCCTGCCGCTGATATGCTTCTTCCCTCAAGGCTTTTCTCCGCCTCCCAAGTCCAGTCAGCCCAAGCTGGCTCCGGTTCCTCCGCCGGTGACCTCCTCGGCGCCTCAACCACAGACCTGACTTCACTCCCCACCGAAACATCAGGCGGCCCCTTCGACGCCATCATCGCCGTCGGCGTCCTCATCAAGGGCGAGACCATGCATTTCGAGTACATCGCCGACGCTGTGTCTCACGGCCTTATGCGCGTACAGCTCGACACCGGTGTACCCGTCATCTTTGGCGTTCTCACCGTCCTGAACGACGAGCAGGCCCAGGCCCGCGCTGGTATCACTTCCGGTGGCCACAATCACGGCGAGGATTGGGGTCTTGCTGCGGTCGAGTTGGGTGTCAAGCGTAAGGCTTGGACCGCGGGCAAGATTGAGTAAGTCTGGCTCTTTTTGTTGCATGCACATCTTTGAGCGGACACTATTGTAGACGACGGATACCAGCTTAGGAAGAAGAGAAAAAAAAGAGGAGGAAAAAACAAGGCACAAATTGCCAAAAAGGGTATTCGCTACCACACATCATGGGCAGAAATTCACCCAACACATTACCTGTTAGGCCAAGAGAAATATTGCTACCTCACTTCGATCTGATTGACGGGGACGTGGCATCAATCATAGACGGCGCCGACTGGATTGAGACACGCGATCGAGAAGAGATATGTGCCTCGGGGTTTCTCCAACATTACTAGATTATTGCACCAAGAGCTGTCTATCATGACTTTGAGTATTGAACAATCCGAGCCGTTCCATCTGCTCTTTCACTCCCACAACGACGCCTGAAAAAGATGATCCCTTAAAAAGTATACACAAGGGTAAGGTGTGTCTCGAGAGGCTCACACCTCTCAAAAATGGCAAAACCCTAGACACAGTCCCGTGTGAGGAGCGTGGCTTGCGGTTATGTCTTATATGTCCAGTCTTTTTGTTTTTCCATGCTCCCACGCATGAAGCCTCGGTCTCGTCCTTCTTTTTCTCTTGCATTTCCCCATGTCCGTTACGAAATTAAAGCTCCGATTTCGCTGCCAATGCTCTTCTTCGTCTTCCACAGAGAGCGCTTCTTCTCCTTCTTGGCCTTCATGGCGGCCCATCCTTCCTCGTCATCATCGTCAGAGTTGCTGCTCGACTTCTGCAGCGTGGTCTTGTTCTCCTGCTGGTGTTGCTGGTGCTGCATCACCTTGGGCGGTTCGTCCCAGCCCCTAGCGCCCGACATTACGGACATGCGCCGACCTGAGTCCAAGGGTGCGGGAGCCTGCGTCACTGGTCTGTAACGCCCTGGTAAGCCCACGTTGCTTCGCTCCGAGGGTGCTATCGAGGGGGCATACCCAAGGCCTGGGGCGTGAATGCTGGGCGCATACCCGCCGCCGCCGCCCATGCCTCCGTGAATGGATGGGGTGTAGCCACCTCCGGGTTGGATCCACGAAGCCGAGCTGGGTTGCACCATGCTCATGGTTCTGGAGCGGGAATCGAGTCCGGGGGGCTCGAGCATAGAGTCGCCAAAGTAGGACTGTCGCTGGCTGTCGTTCATCGACGGCGTCATGACATGGCTCATCGGCCTCGCCATGCCATTGTTCATGTTCATCTGGTTTGGCGTAGCCATCATCTGCATGAACTGCATCTGCATCTGCATAAACTGCTGCATCTGCTGAGTCATTTGGATCTGGGCCTGGTCTCCTGGAGTGAGCATCATCTGGGGCATCTGGGGCATCTGGGGCATTTGAGGCATCTGCTGCATTTGGGGCATTCCGCCCATGCCCATGCCACCCATCTGGCCCATGCCGCCGTTCATACCATTCATGTTGCTGTACATCATCTGCGGCGGGACTGCTGCGGCAGGGTCGACCGGGGCACCAGTGAAAGGATTGACATTTTGTGCCTCAATGTTGGGACTGCCTCTACGCAGGGCCCGGGAACGCTCCTCGCTGGCAATAACTCCAACAAGGCCGCCCATGGGAACAGCCGGGGCCGTGCCAGGAGCCGGCGAGCCACCACCGAAAGTCAGAGATTCGCGTGGGGGTGCGTTGATCAGGCCGGCACCCAGGAAAGGATCCTGTGGCAGCTTCCGTGCAAAGGCGGGGAGATGGCCACCGCTAGTTCCTCTTGGACCGGTGCCCTCACCCATGCTTGACCCGGGGCGCTGAGGCTGAGGGGGCTGAGACTGGACCGAAGATCTCAGGTCAGGGTTCGATGCCATGTTCATGAGGCGAGTGGGTGGCTTGTTCTTGTTCGGGAACCCGTGGGCGGCCAAGATGGCGAGTGGCACTTCTTCGTCCTCCTCTTCGGATGCGTCTGATCTGCCGGTCAAGGGGCCCGGGGGAATGGCGAGGTTGGGGGTGCTGAGGGACATTGACAGGCTGGGACGAGCAGCATGTTCGGATGGAAGGTTTGGCTGCTCGCCAGTCACCTTCATCATTTGTTGTCGATAGACCGCCATGTGCGCCTCCTGCTTCCTCCTCTGCTTGGCAGCCAACTTCGCCTTCTCCATGTCGTCTTCATCATCTTCGTACTGGTCGTCATCGTCATCTCGGCTTTCGTTGGATGCCTTCACGGTTTCGCTGGCGCTGTCCCGACGTTCCTTGTCTTTGCGGTATTTCTCGAACTCGGCGGGAGTCATGACCTTGTTTCGAGGCGGGCTCGGGTTGCTGCCGCTGCCAGAGCTGTAGTGGTGCGTGGGCTTGGGTGGGCGAGCCGTGCTGTTTTCAAACATGTTCTCCTCCTCCTTTTTACTGTCCGTCTCATCCCATCCTGTCGAGAATGTGTCTTCATTTCTGCGGAACCTTCCTTGTGGAGACGGGTTGCTGGGTTGACTGTTGCCAAGGAAGCGGCTGGCAGCCAGTGAGTCCTTCAACAAGTTCGCGTCTTCATCCTCCACGATATCAGACGGTACGTTGTTGCGGAAGGCCAGCGGTGAGCCGTGACGAGGAACTGGTGGCGGTGGTACGGATGTGCGGTCAGTGTTGGTGGGAGAGCCGGGGCCGGAGCGAAACATGTTGTCGTCGTGCAGAAGGTTATCGTTGGAGTGCTGGCTGCTCCATGAGTAAGGGGAGGCCTCAACTTTGATGGACTTGTCAATCTTGATGGGTGAAGGTTGAGGTTGGTTGACACGGTTGGTGGTGAGGGAGCGAGGTCCCATGTTGGACTTGTCGTTTCCGTTTAGCGTCATTTGGCTAGCTCTTTTGTCGAATCCGGACCCCTTGAACATATGACCAAAGTCACTGCCAAAATTGAGGTTAAATTCCTCCTCGCTAAGCTTAGGAGGAGTGGCTGTGCTGGCTGTGGAAGCTGTGAGGCCTCTAGGTCTGCGGCTGGAGTCGTCCTCCAGTACCTGGGCGGGCAAGGGCGGCGGAGGCAGAGGATGTTCGTCAACGGAAGAGACGGAGGCTTGGTTCTTCTTCTGACCGCCAAAGGAAAAGGTCCTGCCGGCTTTGCTGAGGAATCCGCCGGAACTATGCTTTGGAGGAGGAGGCGGCAGATCGGTATGAGATTTCTTAATCGAATTTCTCCATTCTTCCTGAGGGCCTTGGGCACCGAGGTCAGCCGAAGACGGTGTGGTCGAGACGTTGCTGTGGCGCGACGAGGTGTCTGTCGAAGTTGTTTTCGTGGTATTGGATGACCCACTTCCCCTTAAGCTGAGTCAGTCGACGTTAGACACAATCCTTGCCTTGGCCCTGAAATGAATTGCAGACTAGGGGGAAGAGAGAGGACCACCAGCCGATGGCCAACAGCCCAGGAATTCACCGCTGGGTCCGAGACATGCCGCTATTGAATGCATGCCAGGCACAGTGACTATTATTTTTTTCGTCCCCTTCTCTTTCCTTTCCCTCTTCCCTTTCCTTCGCTCGGACTCTTTTCTTTCTGCTCTCTCTCTGTCTCCCACGCCTTGTTGCTTCTTGCCAGGGCCGAGAATGTGTGTCTGGAAATGGAATGGGGCAAGGAGACGGGGTGGATGCACATACCGATTGTTCTTCACGTCTGCAAACATGTTGTCCTCCAAAGACAGGTCGTTGTAGTGTTTGGGCGGAATCGCTGTTGTTGCCGCTTTGAGCAGTCTGTGTCCGCCGTCAAACGACTTATTGCCTCCAACCTCGGTTCTCTCCAGTACACGGAAGGAGGATTGCTGTTGCTGCTGTTCCCCTGTTGTTACCGGCCCATGTTGGAGGAACTCCTCGGAGTTGACGGTCGATCGCCGCCTGCCAAAAGCGACGGAGAATCTAGGCATAGAGAGCGACGGCAAATCGTAGATCCCCGGCGGGATTTTAATCGGCGCGCATTTACACGCGGGGGTCGATAGGAAACGGAGGGCCGTTCAGGATGGAACTCCTCGGGTGGTTGCCCTTCGCTCGCTTGGGAGTCGGAACCGTTGTCAACAAAAATAAAATAGGATAAATCACGATACGAGGCGGGTCAGCTGATAGGGGATGACGACAGAAAAGCTGAGACTCGGGTCGGCTTTGTTGTGGCTCGTGTCAGTGGGCGCTGCGGAGCGTGATACGGTAGGGTGATAAGCGAGAAGATGCTGCGCGGGCGAAGGAACCCAAGTGTCAGCTATGAATGCAAAGGGCCTTGTGTTCTTGTGAATGTCTGTCCGCCTGTCTTGATTGTCTCGCTCTGCCGGATTGGATGTATAGAGGTGAGGCAAGAGAGGTGTTGTGAGAGTGTATGCGGATGAAATTCTGTCTCTGCGACCCAGCGTGGGCCCAGGAAACGGGGAGTGAAGGTGGTAGGTATTTCGGCAGGGTGGCCACCGACAGCCTTAGCGATGGACCAGACCCGACAATGGTTGATTCTCCCGCGTGCGCTTCGTGATTGACTGTCGCGAATCGAAAGGGGGAAACGACAAATATGTAATGGGTCGTGGTCCAAAGGGCTAGAGGGCTGAAAGCCGTGGTGGAATGAGGAATGACGAGAGGAATGGGCCAACGACTTACCGAAGGGGGTCTGCAACGAGCCAACACAGGTCGAAAGACGAAACGAAGAGTCGGCGGAGCGACAGGACGAGATGAGCCGGTGACGGGTTGGATATTAGTCTATACTGCGCGCAAAGAGCGTGTGCGATGATGCGATAGGAAGCGATGCGATGCGATGCCAGGGCGTAAAATCAAAAGGCGTATGATCTCATCCAGAACTTTTTTTTATCCAGAAGCAAATAAAAAAAAGATGCAACAAGGTGAGAGTTGGGCCCAGACCGGAGCGGACTACAAGGCCAGAGACGAGGATAAGCAAGTAAGCACGCGGGCTTGACTAGGGGATGTGGGATGGAAATGGGGTAATTAGGATATGAAGAACGAATGAAAGGGACAAGAACAGTTCGAGTCGTGGGCCGGATGGGCGCGATACGAAGGGATATGCAGCAAATGATGACAGCAACAACGAGGGTCGACGAAGCA